TAATAGATCCGAGTCTAGTATTTTTGCTTGAGATCCAGTGGGATCACAGATCCTCATTTATTTTTGGTCAACACAGAAATCCCAAAGATCACTCGTTGCAACTCACAAACGTTCTTATTTAGTGATTTTGTGTGATAACACGTCATAATCCATAGTTTTGTGGCACTTATTAACATAGAGACACTTGGAAACCTGGTTCCAAATGTTATGCATGGTGGGATCCACTCAGATCAAAGATCCATGTTCTTGGTTTATCGTCAGATCCTGTGAGATCATAGATCCAGGATACTTTTTTCACGCCGGATTCTGTAGGATCATAGATCCGAACCTGCAATTTGCCTCGAGATCCACTGAGATCATAGATCCATCACTCGGATCCATGCACATTTCTGCCTGGAATTGATCCGACATCAACTACAGGTTGGCTGGTGGGGTGACCTCCAGTCCAGAGAGGGAAGCATGAAGACTAGGGGCGATGCGGATTGTTTTTTTCCTGAGGATAGCGAGGACGGAAGTAATCTAGCACCCTTGACCCTTCCTTATACTGAATGTATCTCAGGCTGTTAAATCTCCTAAGCGTTTTTTTTTTTTCTCGACATCGTCAAGGTGTCATTAATAAAAATATGAAATCCGGGAGGATAAATTAAATATAGAAATTGTGGCCAACAGAAAATTATCAGTTGCCGTTCAACATACTCGTAAGGATGATCACACACCCAGCCTACATGTGAGCCATGTAATAATTATTTTTGATAGACATGCTTAAGTTATGAAATCATCTGAAGTGTTTGTAAAGTTCCACGATACGGATCTAATATCCTGCTACGCATCATGACCATTTCTGGTCAGGTCATGTCTTTGAACATAGGCCAAATTTTTCAAATGACTTTTAAAGATTAACTTTTGATTCATTCGAAGCGTTTTGATAAGAGGAACACGAGGCTGGTAAAATTAATTTCGAGTAAGTTTTAAGCTAAAAACTTGTGTTTGTGGAAAAGCAATTGGCTTTCTCATAATACCGATGGTGGCAGTTGCTGTTATTTACGTGCTAAGCCGTTCACCTTAATTAAATCCGACAATATTATTCAGACATAGCGGTAAACGAGCTGATTGTTGTGTTAGGTTAGGCTCGGTCGATTTCAGAGTGGGAAGGATGACAGGAATTAGGGGGAGACAGGGGGCCTGGGCGGTGTTTCACGGCCCCACGCTGCAGCACGCTGCGCTGCGCTGCTGCATTGTTGCGGCGGTTGATATGAATTCGGCTCCACGCTAGCGTTGCGAGCTTCCGAGTCTGTTGATGTTTCCATGGAAATTGGAAACCCAATGCACCGGTGCGCGCAACGCACCCTGTCCAAGCAAAATTTTACCACCGATGACCTCTGGTGACATGATCTCTGGTTCTGACCCGATCTTAAATTGGCTGAAGTAGGTATTTTTCCTCTTCTTTTTGCTACTTTTGACGCTACTTCGAATGCCACTTAAATGCCCAAAGCTGAGTTATAAGAATGATGCTCAATCCCCATTTCCCCTCCATCAGGGCGTTAGAGTCTAGGCATTCCTGTGGGGCACGGGCTAACAATGACTATCTCTATAACCATTGTGGCCATGAACATCTACTGCCATTCTTAACCCTCGCCCATGTAGGGGGGGGGTTGATGCACCCCCCCCCCTGAGGTTTTTCTAAGCTACACGCCGAACCGTTTCAGATAGCCTGCTCAAATTTTCAGTACCCTTTGGGGAATCCTTTGCGCAACTTTTGGTAAAAATTTTTTGTCAATGTCATGTCAGGTCACGGAGTTATGACGTCATAAAGGGAACAATGTTTATCCTGATGAAACGGAAACGGAACGGAAACAACCTCCGGCCAGATTTACGCTAAATTGGAGATTGCTTCACATTGGTATAAATGCCGACTGACCTGACACACTGATGGATTGTTTTAGAATCATAACTGGCTGATTTGACATTGGCACAATGTCCGTTGACCTTTTCAAGGTTACTAAAGGTCAAGGTCAGGTCAGTGACCTCGGTTGACCTGTAATGACTTCTTGCACTTGTATGCCTTTTCGGGGTATTTCGATGCCCTGAATTCGAATTTGCTATCCATTTCAGGCATCGTCGGTTGTTTCTTGTAGTTCATTTTGGGTCAGGGTCAGGTCAGTGACGTCACACGCCTGACGTTACCCAATGCACAAATGACCTTGCAGACTTCCGATGCTCCCAACGCATCATTTTTAGAGTTATGACATCGAAATACACACCAAACGATAGAGAATTGATCAAGGATCACGATAGTGAAGGTTTCAAGTCGATATCTTTTACCGTTTTGCCACAATCGGCGCGGAAATCTGAAAAAGTTAGATTTTTCCGAAAATTTGACCTTTGACCAGTCATAAGTAGGTCAAATGTTGACCTAGGACCAAAAAATATACCACCAATCGCGAGATCTCGTTGAGAGCAATCCGTTGGTCTTTTCCGCTAAGCTCTACGACGCTCCGTTTTCAAACGCCAGGGGGGGTCGCACCAACCCCCCCCCCCCCCTGCATGGGCGAAGGTGGCAAAACACCGTTTACGGGCGAGGGTTAAACACCAGTTTCGCTGCGCTGAGCGGTGGCCGTCCCGTTTGTTGGATTCTACAACTGGCTGGCGGAAAGCGTTACCGGCCGCCCGTCCACCGCCCGCGGGCCGGACCGAGCGGTCCCGCTGACCCTACCTGACCTGAGCCCGGCGCGATATGGGACAGGCAGACGGGGGTTCGGCTCAGCGAAGGCAGCGCCCACTGGTGCTGGGGACTTTTTTAATAGACCTACTGTACGTAGTGTCCTCTCTCGGCTCCACACTCCTCCCCTCTATCCACTCACCTGCACGTAGTGTCCTCTCTCGGCCTTAGATGGTCCGACAGACTCCATCACTCTACCCTTATCCTCTCCTCCCCCTTACCTGCACGTAGTGTCCTCTCTCGGCCAGCAGTCGGTCCGACAGACCCCCGCTCCCCTCTACTCCCTCTCTCCCTCACCTGTACGTAGGTGGCTGACACAGGCTGATATTTCACATTACCACAGGGTACATTTCGATGACACACTAGACACTACCACTCATATGCCGTTAGTGCTTTGGTTTTGCACCAAATATTTCGCCCCATGGAACCTCGAAGTCGCTTGGGGCTAGCTTTCTCCCATTCTCGATGAGCTGGCCAAATACGCTGGATTTTGATGAAGAAGCTGGTGGAGCTACTTCTGCGTCTACGGCTAAGTCCGACTCTTCTGCCGGGCCAGACGCGCGTCCTGCGACACACCCAACGTGATGGGGACCAGCTTCAGGAGGGGCTGTGGCGAGGATAGCGGCGGAGTTTCCCCGGATGATTGCTATCGAGACTCTTTGTAGAAGCCAGGACACTTCTCTGGGGTCCTTAGTCGCCGCAGAAATCCGACCGCCGATATCCCGAAGCAGCTTTGACCCTGCTTCTCCGACTACGCCGGTAGTCTCCACTGCTACTGGAGTGAAGATGTAGCGGTCTGCGAGACTGGCGTAGCGCATGCGCTTCAGGTTCTCGGCGGCGGCTGCAGCTGCGCCGGGATCCACTGCACACTTCACCACGTGTGACTCAGCAAACGTGTCAACGCATGTGGCGTCCCATGTGAGGCTTCGACCGGCACTGAAGGGGAACGTTGTCAGTCCGTCGGGGCGCCTTCCATCTCCTCTGTCTAGCCCCACAGGTTCTAAGACCGATGGTACGCCAGCGCTTGCCAGTGCTCGTTTAATGACGTCATTTAGGGCTGCGTGCCGTGGGAAGCGACCGGCGCTCTTCTTGCATGATAGGCCGAGGACGCTCTGGCCTTCGGCTGGAGTGCCACCGATGGTGGTTAGCTCGCACTTTGATTTGTCCCAGCCTGTCCACAGGGCATCCACATAGCTTGCATTGGTGGGGCTCACAGATGGGCAGGCCTAGTCGGAGGGCTACCGCTATACGAATGGTCTCGTCATCAATGTACAGTCCCAGGCTGGGGATTGGAGGTGCTTGCAGCCAGGCTGCAGTATGCGGCATACAAGCAGCACCGAGACGAGCGCGATGTATCTGATTGGCTCCGGCGATCAGGCGGTTAGCGGTGACAGTTGACGCGATGTCGTCCCAGGTCTTTTGGAGGCTGGCCGCCGGGCGTTCTGGAACAGTCTCGATGCCAGTTGCAGCCATGAACTGCTCCGTGGCTGGTTGCAGTGCCGCTGGCTCAGGGCCCGTGAAGGTTGAAGGGCAGATAGATAAGACCAGCGGTGCTGCTGCGGTGAGAGACGACAAGTAGCAGGGCAGAGCGAGAGCGTGCACGGAGCGCACGCCGAGCCCGCCATGCCTCTGGGGCAGTGCAGCCTGCTCCCAGGCCTCGTCTGTCAGTGCCACGTTACCAACTTCCTGGAGCGTGAGACGAACTGTGCTGTCGATTCGGGATAGCTCTGCAGGCTCCCGATAGGCTGGCGATGAACGTAATAGATATTGCACTCGCAGGGCAGCTACGTACTTCGATAAGAAGAACAGAGCTGTGTGTCGATCGAGGAGGCGGAGTCGACTGCACAGCAGTTTGATAGTCGTGTGGGCTGCTCTGACAGAGTCGCCAAGCCCAGCCTCGTGTAGCGGTGAGCCGAGCAGTGTGAGCTGTTCAGGAGGGGTGGTTTTGATGCCGGCGAGGACTGACGAGATGGTGCTGATAACGCTCTGGCCTTCGGCTGGAGTGCCACCGATGGTGGTTAGCTCGCACTTTGATTTGTTTAGTTCTAGGCCGAGGACACTGGCTTGTACGTAGTGTCCTCTCTCGGCTTCACATCGCTCTCCTCTCTACCTCCCTCTCCGCTCACCTGTACGTAGTGTCCTCTCTCGGCTCCACACTCCTCCCCTCTCCCGCTCACCTGTACGTAGTGTCCTCTCTCGGCTCCACACTCCTTCCCTCTATCCGCTCACCTGTACGTAGTGTCCTCTCTCGGTTCCACACTCCTTCCCTCTATCCGCTCACCTGTACGTAGTGTCCTCTCTCGGCCAGCAGTCGGTCCGACAGCCGGTTGGAGACCAGCGGGTTGCCGACGTGTACCGGAATGATGTGGCTCGGACAGTGTTCTACCGGCACTCCGGCGTCGTTCAGTAGGTCACGCAGCAGCTTCACGTTATCCTGAGGAGGCGCACAGGGGAGGGGAGGAAAGGTCAGCATAAAAGAGGAAGGAGAATACAATATTATATCACAGTTCATCATTTGAGTTGTGACGCCGCAAACAATGATTCGTAACAATGATATCAATTAAATATAGCAACCATATTATGTATCATAGCACACTGCAAATTCACACTGTGAAACCACGAATAAGGCATTCAAAATCAACACTTCACGGTAAAAACCACCATCCACGCTGCCCAGCACGACAAAAAGCAAGAAGCAGGAAGCTCCCAGAAACTCAAGAGCTGTCAGACTAGCATATCAGTATGAAGCTCCCAATCCAGGAGCCTCACGACTTTTATGATCCCATCCCCAGCGACCCCTCCCATCACCTCACCTGATGCGTGGCCCTCAGCCGGCGCCCCTCGTCGCTCCTCAGGAGTCGGACGGCCGCCAGCGCGCCGGCGCACACGGTCGGTGGCAGAGAGGTGGTAAAGATGAAGCCGCTGCCGTAGCTGCGGATCACGTCCACCAGCGAGGCTGAGGCCGCGATGAAACCGCCGATGTTGCCGTAAGCTTTTCCTGTGGGGGAGTCAGGGAGCTAAACAATAGTGGTGGAATGAAATCTACGGCCATCCTGGCTTGTTCAGTGCAGCTTGACCCAAACATCGGGCCCGGCAAAAAAAAAGTGCCGGTACGCTTCAATACATCAATTTCAAAATGGCAAGCGGTTGGCACTGGGCAAACTACCGGGATACATATTGTACGGCGCATCTCTCGCAGGATGTCGTACCTAGAGTTCCGGAGATTATATCCATCTTGTCGAGGACTTGGTCCCTCTCGCCGATTCCGGCCCCGTTCTGACCGTACAGGCCCACCGCGTGCACCTCGTCCACAAAGGTCAGGGCGCCGTACTTGTGCGCCACCTGTCGGTTAGATTAACAAACGTCAGTACCTCGCTCAGTCCAGAGATGGCGCGCAGCATCTGGCAGCTTCCATTCCTCATCGATCGGGCAGGCTGACGGTCATCGGTCGGCAGAGACCGAGGATGCAGCGCCCGAGCCTCGTCGGTGGCGGACCACTGGGATGCAATCGACCCAGACAACGCATCGTGCGCCGAATGAGAGAGGGCACCAAGGGATACCCGATTATGTGCATAGGAGGGCAACTGATGACAGGTGGGACGTTTTTTTCTCCAAACAATAATGTGAAAAATCGATGCAAGCAGCTTATAAGTCACAGTTGCGCTGCAGGGTAATTACAAACGACCGTATCAATTGAACTAGGCCCATTTTCAAAGAAGACACAACAATCAGCCCGCATATCACTCAAAACAAAACAAACAATGCTGTCAGCGTCACACAGCGCATCAATATACAACCAAGAGCTATGTCTCAGGGAAGACCCGGCACCATACAAAACTCTCAACGTAAAAACACCCGTTAACGGTCTATCTATGCAGGACAACCCCAGCATGCACGTCCCCCCATCCATCACAGTCATCCTCCGTTGCTTACCACCCAGATAACCCTTTCCCCGTAAAACTCACATCACAGAGCGTCTCCAGGGGGCAGACGGCCCCAGTCATGGAGTGCACCGTCTCGAAGGCCACGATCTTGGGACGGGCCGGGTCTAGTTTGGACAGCAGTTCCTCCAGATGCTCGGGGCTGTTGTGGCGGAAGATGAACTTCTCGGCGCCCGAGTTACGGATACCCTGGATCATGGACGCGTGGTTGCCGGCGTCCGAGAGAATCTGACATCCTGGGGGAGAGATAGAGAGACAGAAAGTGAGTGAAGGAAGTGTAACTGGAGGAGGAAGGTGTGGATATTGGAAAAGCTGGCAAATTTCGAGAGATCTTAAATGGATTTTGACGTTTATTGAGCACAATTATCAGGAACTGAATCTTCGCATTCACATGGCGAAAATACCTTTTGGTTGGTTAGAAGTACAAAGTGCATGAGTGGCGGTCTGGTTGCGGTATTGTTCTTTTTATGCAATGACCGTTAAGAGTAGTTGGTGATCACAATTCAGTTTACAGCATGGAGCTTCAGTTTTTGCTTGCATATTTTTTATCTTGCTAGCAATGCCATTTTCGTATTCGGTTTCACAATGGCCCCTACATGACCAGCAATTAGCACAAGTGTCGTAAACAAAGGTATCATCGTAATAAAACGGCCTTATCCTTTGTTGTAACGAAGGTCATCAACTCATGGTGACACATGTGCCTGCAGAAGGCGACACAGGCTAATAAACGAGTGGAAGGCACATTTGTGATCTGACCTCAGCCGTCATCCTTCATGGGAAGAGCCGAGATAGGGAGGAGAGGGGAGGCTACACCTGTGATCTGACCTCAACCGTCACTCGTAGATCACTCATGGGAATGGCTGATAGGGAGGGGTCAGGAAAAGGCACACCTGAATACTCCACTGCCGCCTATTCATCACTCAAAGGACAGACCGTCCCATCTAAAATGTGAAAAGCCACATGTGCCGACCATCACTTCCCCCCCCCTCCCCCTGCATTCCCCAACAGACAGGCATGAAAGACAGCCAAATCCTGTCCCTAGACAAGTGTGCCGGATGTGCTGCGATGCACGATGAATGACAGCCGAGCGGCTGGGTGGGCGGCGCTTGCTGACACAGCGCAGCAAATTGGCGACACAGCGGAGCTTGACAAATGTTTAACCGGCCGAGGTCACCCATCTGACCTCTAACCCCGGGCAGGTAACTAAGGTCATCCGACCGACCTCTGACCCAGGGTCGGCAACATAACTCATGTACCCTCCAACCGACTGATGACGACTGAGGCGCCAGGACTTCCCGATGACGAGACGATAGTTCGAGATAAGGTATGACAGGCACCGCAAACACCGCAATAAAACAAACACATCACCATGATTGGACTTAACGGAGCGTTCCGAGATCTGACGTTATCGGCTCTAGGTACGTGACGTGTCATCATGCCAAAAATAGCAATATGGGAGCCGAGTCTTCGACCTTATCGAGCGACCCGACTTAGCAACCAACCGGCTCCAACTAACGACCAAGTCTGATCGAAGCAGCCAATTTCAACTTGACTCCAAGAGTCCCCCACCTGAGACTTGCAAAACTTTCATACTTAACCCCCCTCCGACTCATCCAGCTTGACAACTCAACTCTCCCCCTCCCCCTCTGAAAACTCCAACTGACACCCGTCCGGCCAGTTACTCACCAGGCAGTGACCGAGCCAGTGTAAAGAGGGTGGTATCGTTGGCCACGTAGCACGAGGTGAAGAGGAGCGCGCCCGTCTTCTGGTAGAGGTCGGCCAGCTCTGCCTCGAGCTCCTCGTGGAAGAGCGTGTTGCCGGAGATGTTGCGGGTGCCGCCGGCGCCGGCGCCGTGCTCCTTCAGCGACTGGCTGCACGGGGACGAAGGGTGGTTGGGTTAGAGGAGGGTTGTGAAAGGAGCATAAGGGCACAGGGGAACGGTGGGGCTAAGATCACTCGAGGGATGCATTTCGGGTCTATTCGAGATAAATCGATCAATAAGTTGAATATATGAATATTGAAAATAATAAACCATTAAAGAATTCCTTATTATTTCCATACCTCGAACACGTTTAACTATAGAATTCTCACTTGACGGCGCCGATGACAGTCCGGTGTCGTAACATGCCCACTGCCCAGGTCGTCGTTGTTAGGGTCAGGGTCAGGGTCAGGGTCAGGTCAGGGTCAGGGTCAGGTCAGGTCAGCTCTCACCTCACAGCGCCGATGACAGCCGGGTGTCGAGACATTCCCAGGTAGTCGTTGCTGCACCACACAGTCACATCGCGCCGTCCGCGGGAGAACTCGGCGGCTGCCGGGAATTGGTCGGCGCTGCGCAGCACCTGCACCGACAGAGGGACACCACAGGTCACGTCACGGGTCGTGTCACGGATTACGGTGGACGTGCTAGGTGTCACACCCAGGGTGGGGTCACAGCACAGCGAGAGGTTACTGAAGAATATGAGGAACAACACAAACAACTAGCAAAATGTACGACGTGCTGGCGCGCCAACATCGACCCCAATACAATGCTACATCGCATAACATATGTGCACTGAGTATTGCACACTAACACCAGCGTAACACATGGGTCTGGGGGAATCAGCCAAAAACAGAGCGAGAAAGTCTGGCATTTGTCACGAATCATCTATATAGACGAGACCCACCTTCTTGAAGATGCGGTACGAGTGGTCCTCCTTCTTCTTGCGGATCTGGTCGCGGAAGAAGCCCTCGTAGTCGAACGCTGCCGAACAAGCGAGGGCACCAAATCTCAGAAACGGTATGATACGCACGGACTTCAAGTAAAAAACGAGCATTTGGAAATGTGAGCGGCCATACGCACAATTAAGTTAAAAATGCCGATGAAAAGCAAACTTTCTTGTGAATAGCTCTGGCTTCAAATAAATCAAGATACTTCCACGCAAAACATTATATAACACATTAAAGGGCCTGGTCATTGAATTACCATAAGAGTATTGAAAAGAACCAGCTCTAACTACAAGGTTACACACACAAATGCATGCGCACTAACTACAGGCTGATAGGAAAACTGTAAAAAGGGTGCATTATTGTTAAGATCGAGATCGCATGAAATAGCAATCAACTTAACCCGCGCCCTGCTGGGGGGGGGGGGTGTTTGAACACCCCCCTTGTGGTTTTTCGCGAATATCTCAAAAACGGCGGCGCTCCGCGCCGCCGTTTTTGGTGCACCTTATCATACATCAATTCTACACATGTTGTGAAAATTTCAGACCAAGGTCATTCAAGGTCAGGTCACCAGGTCACTTGAAGTGACCTCACCTCATAAAAAGTTTCAATGTCTGTCATAGCTACACCGAGTGACCGATCGCTTTGAAACTTTCAGCGATTGCTAAGAGCAATAGCATGTACAAAATGTATATCTCCGAATTTTGATATCGATGACCTAAGGTCAGGTCAATTTTGCGACCTCCCCATTATAAGTCAATGGGAGAAAATTGAAATGCGCCTCTTTTGGATGAAAGACATTATAAACACTCCCAAACACCGAATTACAAGTGGTTTAGACACACTGAACATGAAAATGGTGTCCGTGACCCTTGTTTATGCCCTGAGGTCATCTTAGGTCACGAATGGTATCTAACAGTTTTTCGCAAATAACTTTTGATAGAGGCATGCTAGAGCGATGAAAACGCCTTAGATGTGTTCAGCTCGACGATACGGATCGACTGATATGCAACATGACCCTTTCCGGTCAGGTCATGACCTTGACCTGATGTCAAATTTTCAAGTTGACCTTTCAAGGTCAAGTTATAGTTCATTCGATGCGTCTTGACGAGAGGAACACGATGCCGGTAAAAGTAAGCTCGTACAGGGCTTGGATCAAAAGTTATTGCAGAAAAACTGTTTCCAAAAAAATCGGCTATTTTTGCAGTTTTTGCCCCCTGCAGGCAAAACCGTTGACGTTAGGTCAAATCTGAGAGGATTACTCAGAAAGAGCGTTAATAGGGCTATCGAATGCGCTTTTCCGCGGCGCTGTAGCTCTATTGGTTCCCGAGTTATGCGTTGGCTTCTTGGAAATTTTCGCCATTCGACCTGGAAATCGGCGAAATTTTGCCTTCAATGACCTCTGGTGACCTGACCTTTGACCTGACCAAAAAATTGACCGAAGTGATTTCGTCATTATTTTTGACGCTCTTTCGAACGCCGCCTTCCGCGTATCGCTACGTGGCCCAGGAGCCGAGTTACAAGGGGGGGTGTTCAAACACCCCCCCCCCCCCCAGCAGGGCGTGGAAATCCAGGACCCCCAGCCGGGCGCGGGTTAAAGAAACTATCCCACCTTCTAAAATGTTGTTAAACCAGTTAAATTGTGCCCGACTTTATAGATTGGATGAACAGGAACACGGTTCTGGCATTTATTTTTCATTAAACATCTTAGGCTTCCCATATTCCAAACACAAACTTTCAAATATGTGACGTCACAGCCCAAAATTACCTCCTTCCCCAGGCCACATTACTGTCATAAAGCTGATTCTTTTTACTCTGTAGGCACCACAACAAAGTTCAGACCAAGTTTTAAGCGATTTTTCAACGAACAAACCCATTTAAATCAGAATGGCTAAACGAGGTGACGTCACACTAACGGTCGCTCCATGATGAAGATAGGGCCTTGCGCAAGGCCCATTTTCAAATGAAGGGAACGAATTTCTTCAACACCAAGAGGCCGCGGGGGTTGCAACCTAGATAGATAGTGGTTTCTGAACCTCGCCGCAAACTTGGCTATCTCAACTCAAACCCCATGTTAAAGGTGGGATAGTCCCTTTAATCGAAACATTAGAATCGAAGACACTCCACATAGAACAATATGAGCATTACACACGCAAGCCGCAACGTCTTGGCAGGCATGCATGCATCACAAAACTACATTGGCTAGCGTAAGGGCGCACACAAATACACTGTCTCCTGGAAACCCGAACAGAGTCAAACTACACTGAAAAGCAATGGTGCGCTCAACAGCTACAAACAAAGTAAGTAATTGAGCACACAACAAAACAGCCGCCCGGTGTTAGAGTAGACGGGTAAATGCTGAAATCACCAAACCCTGACCTATGCTCTCCTGTTCGGTCGCGTCGGTGCGCTTCTCCACCGGACATTTGCGGGCTGTCAGAGAGGAGGTTAGATCCAGTGAGCGCACCGTTCAACGCAGCTCACTAAGCACGGTAGGCTCAGAGTGGTTCTGCCATACTTTGTGTCATACAACAAGCATCCATCACCCAAACTTAGCATCCTGTATAATGTGTATCATGATCGCACATCCATCACAGTGTCAATGTCCATAGAAGCTGCAGAGGCACGCATACACTCATATTCGTGCCCATACCCACTCACGATACACAATGAAACCACCAAACCCCAAATCCTTCAACAAAGCTCCGAACATTCTCTCCGACTCTCGACCTGACACCAAATTTCCAGACGTAATCGCTCCCTCCCCGCGCCCGCAGCTCCCATTACAATCCCCACCCACCCACTGAGCAGCGGCGACCAGCAGCAACAGAAAACCAAGCTCGCTCATCCTCCGTCGGCGGAGGTACTCACGCTCAGAGACGGAGATGGTGTCACTGTAGGCGTCCACGGTGGTCTCCTTCAGAGCCGCCGCCGCCGTCTGGTCCTTCAGGAACGGACATTTGGAGATGGCGCCCGCCGCTGAGGGTGGAGAAAGAACGACCTATTCAGTGCGACGATACGCAGCTGGTTACATGTACGACGGTGAGGACTGGCTGAATGAAAATACGACTTAATGCTCTGCTGTCTATGCTACGAGGGTCGGAGCATGTGAGTAGGGAAGTGGGTAGCGGTATATCGTTGTCAACACTCAGAGATACAACTCATTACCTATGCAGGCAACTGACGCCGTGTTATCGTACAAGGTGGATGGGTATGTAAAGGTGCATCGAAAATAACAATGGTAAAATTAACTAGTATTGGCAACGTCCGTTACGGCGAATTTCGCAATGAATTCCTGCACTGTCATAAAAATGCATTGTTGTTGAAATACAATAGGCAGTTAGAGTTTGGCATGTCAGCGTGGCATGGGCCGCACCCTGCCACACCCGTACAAGTCCGTGAGGCTCGTGCGGCACGAAACATTCTGACCCATAATTGCGCCTACCCTCTGACCTGCTGACCATGCATGTAATGTACCCATGCAGCAGAGTGCATGTCAGCACCTCTGACACAGCCAGTTTAGGGTTTCAGGTACGCAATCCAGCCGAACAAAATTACTTTGCACCGTGAGTTTGTCTTACTATAGATAGGACGTGATTAAAATAAAGCGGCAACAATAGATGTCTTTTCGTCATAAAACACCATGATAGCTAAGAAAGGATACAATGACTGTGGGAACTACAACGCACATTTACACAGACCGTGAACTTACCGTGCTCGGGCGCCGTAGCAGCGCTTGAGACATGACGAGCCAGCACTGGGCAGTTGGCTCCGTAGGTGGCCGCCAGCCGGCCCCCGTACGACTGCAGGTAGCGGGCCGGGAACATGCGCAGGAACGGACACGGCGACTGCATCCTCAGTTGCTGAACGGCACCTGTAGAGAAGAGACAGAATACATCAGTGAGATGTAGTGGGCGTGTGTTGCAGATCGAGATGGTAGGTAGGTATAGTCACGGTGACTATAAATAGGTATAGTGTGTCAGAAAAATGGCAGAATTTCAGATCTGGCAAGAATTCTGTCATGCAAAGGCAAAAACTACTATGTGAGGTCAGAGTCTGGCCTCACATAGTAGAATTATCAGTTCACTGTTACAGCAGAACCACTGCCATCACAAGCATAGCAAATGTGCTAACTGTACATCCTCTGCTTCTACCCATACATGCTTGCCATTTCAACATAGATCCTTTCCTTAATTTCAGGAGGGTATGGGTCTATCCTGACTCCTGAGACCAGCAAACTTTGGGTTTACTGCTCAATTTGAGATGATTTGAGATGACAGATCAATGCAACTGAGGGTAAAGTTTTATTTGTAGACAATACACCCTAATTATCCTCTCTGCAGGCAAACCTTAACCTACTTTCACATTTTACATCTCAAATCTTAAGAAAAAGTAGTAAGGGTGTAAAGTTAAAAGCCTTTTTTACCTAGCTGGTTTTACTGCTTGAATTACCTTGGCCTGTGTTAAACTTGTGTTAAAACTTGATATCAATTACATAATTATGATAATAATTGCCTGAATCAAAAATTTAGGTCACATTCATAGGGACAGGCATTGGCTATGAAAGGCAAAAGGTTCATCATATTCTGCAAAAAGGTTCCCTAAAAGCAGCCTATTCTATTCCTCTCCATCAGAAGACCAAGGAACTGCCTTATTAATGGTTATCAAGTTTCAGGCCCTCACAGCTCAAGCCTTTTAAAGCTATGAGGATAAGGTCATAAAACTAACTTATAAATATGAACCTCACACAGGCGCTAAGAAACCTCAAAAGTATTTAACCAAACTTTTTCTTATAACGCTTCAACTTGTAAGGTTTTCTTCTACTGCGAGGTAAACAGAAAAATTCATTCTGGACAGTGGCGGATCTACGTTGGGGCAAAATGGGCAATTGCCCCCCCTAAACGGAAAACCTCTGGGCAAACATATCTTTTTGCCCCCCCCTAAAAAACTACAACTTGAATACTAAAAATATGGTGTTTGAAAAGAAAATGTGAAATAAATGGAGGACTAGAAGGTTGTCATATTCGTGATATTAAGTTGTGAGCTGATAAAAAGTCCTCCGCCCCATGAATTACCCCATGAGATTACCAATCGCCCCATGAGATTACCAATCGCAGCTTTTTCATGAGCCATACCGTTATCTAACGGGGACAAACACAGAAAGGCTCAGTCAGAGCTTTTGGCTTGCGAGGTGTTGGAGAAGCTCAGTATGTTGTGGGAACTTAAAGGGACCCTCTCACCTTCAAAAAAGTTAATGAATTGGCATGAAAGTGATGTCGCTCGTTTCAGAAAGAGCAAAAACGAATATCTACCAAATTTCATCGAAAAGTATTCACCGGTTTTCAAGATATTAGACTTTTACTTTTGTTTACTTTTTGGGATCTCCGCTGTTCCTAGCGACTTTATTTTGAAAGTGCGGCATTTGTTGCGCGCAAAGCAGCATATACCACCGCGTGCTACAAAACGTTTTAGTCAAACATTTAAAAATCGTTAGATATCTGCGCTGACGTCACACATTCAGAGGGGTATTCCTATGCATTAGCCCCTCTGAATCAAAATGCTGCAATTTTGAAATTCAATATTTCCGATTTAAAGGGACCCTCCCACCTTAACATTAGATTTGAGTTGAGATAGCCAAAATGGGGTCCCTGGCTCACAATTACCGGTTTCGGCACTCACAACATCGAGAAATGCCTTAAATCGGAAATATTGAATTTCAAAATTGCAGCATTTTGATTCAGAGGGGCTAATGCTTAGGAATACCCCTCTGAATGTGTGACGTCAGCGCAGATATCTAACGATTTTTTAATGTTTGACTAAAACGTTTTGTAGCACGCGGTGGTATATGCTATTTGCGCGCAACATCTGCCGCAAACGCCGCACTTCTAAATTAAAGTCGCTAGAAACAGCGGAGATCCCAAAAAAGTAAACAAAAGTAAAAGTCTAATATCTTGAAAACCGGTGAATATTTTTCGGTGAAATTTGGTAGATATTCGTTTTCGCTCTTTCTGAACCGAGCGACATCACTTTCATGCCAATTCATAAACTTTTTTGATGGTGGGAGGGTCCCTTTAAAGGGAGATTATGACCTTTTTCCACAAAATCTGAGTTAGGACCATTTTCTGACAAAACACAACAAGTTATAATGTAAATTAAAACCATTTTGCTCAATTCGGTACCTTGCCGCAAATATCTCAACTTGAAGTCACGTTAGCGGGGAGCGCTGAAAATGACCGTTGAATAAGTACTTACATCACTTTTTGGTACTTGCATGTAATTTTGTAAAATGAGCGTATTCCTCACATTTGATCTTCATCACATCTAGTTAGTTAATGGTCGTCTATAGTGCCTTCAAAAGATATTAATGGTTTGGGGGTGGTTTATGTCTAAATTTACGCAACTATTTTTCCTGTTCATCATCTGTCGCCACATGCTGCTATTTTAGTAGCAACGACTCAATTTTGAATCGGTCCCGCCGACTGCACAATAAAAGAAGATAGATACAACACTTTTGCGACATCACTGAAAAACTTATGCAGTACTGTTATCAAAATTCTCATAACACCGTTCGACAAACCTGAAGTCTTTTTGAAATAAATATGCTTGTATTTTTCGCTTCAGGCTCTGAGGCCAAAATAATGAATTTCGTAGTCGCAATCGCAAGATTTGGTTGCGTTTCTGGCGCATGCCGTTCATTTGTGGCGCAAAATAATACTTGGAAACAAAGAAGAGTAGGCACTATGTACCCCCGAATTAGAATCTAATTAATTCTAAACCGAATTAACTCTAATTCAAATTAGAATCCTTACAACCAAGCAACGACAAGGCGATAACATAAACAAAAACCCAAGCGTCGCTGTTTGAAACAAAAGCGCCATATACTACGCCATATACTATATATACGCCATATACTATATAGATGAGCAGTCCAAGCTATGCTCAAGCAGCAAGAGCAAACATGTCAGCATTGGAAACCAGACTGGAGGAACTGGCCGTGACTGTAAAGTCAAGCCTAGTAAAGAAGGACACAACCGATACCAGAGCCCTGAAGAAAGGACTGACTGAACTAGAAGACATTGAAAACAGAAAACTAAACTTGGTTGTTTTCAACCTCCCCGAGACCGGCAGCAGCGAGGGAGACATTGCAGCATTCAAAGAAATGATCAAGTCTGAGTTCAAGTTATCTGTGAAGTTACAGGAGGCCACAAGACTTGGAAAGATGAAAGACACAGGCTCCAGAATACTTAGAGTGAAACTCGAGGCACTGAGTGAAAAGAAGCTGATCTTGGCTAAAGCGAAGGATCTGCGAACAAGCCGTGATGAAACATATACTAGTGTCTTTATCCGTCCAGATCTTACAAAATGCCAGCTTGAGGCTTCAAAAAACTTGCGAGCACTATTGCAGGAAAAGCGCCTAGCTTTCCCAGAAAAGAAATGGATGATAAAACGGAACGAAGTGGTCATGGTTCCATCACTGCAAAGCTAAACATCCAAGATGGCACGAAAACAACCGGGCCCCCAGCACATTCAAGTGCGTTAAAAGTGTTTTATGCGAACATCGATAATTCTATCATGAGTAAATACGACTCTATTTTGGCACTCATTGCACTTGAGGACTACGATGTTCTTGCGTTATCAGAAATGAAGCCCAAAGTTGGATTGATACCTGAACATACTGTTATGGAAGTGCCTGGGTATGACCTTTTTACTAGCAAATTTCCTGCCGAAGGTACAAGGGGTACGGGAATTTACGTCAAGAAAAACTTACTGGCCAAGCAAGTGTATCCTACGGTAGGCGGCAACTTTCAAGATTGTACCTGGATTTCAATTGGTGCCCAGGCTGGGGTCAGTATGCTCGTTGGGGTGATCTATAGAAGTGGGTCACCAAATAGAGCTATTCCTTTGGATCATGATCTCCACAAAATGTTTGGTTGGGCGGCATCCTCAAATCATTCCCACAAAGTCATAGTTGGGGACTTCAACCACCCAGAAATATTTTGGACCCCGGACCCCGAAGTTCCAGAAGGTGTCAGCCAGAACAGCCCAGCCCGGAAGTTCATAGAATGCATACACGACACCTACCTTCTGCAACATATAACGGAGCCAACAAGATACAGGGATGGACAGCGAGCTACTCTCGACGACCTACTATTTACAAATGAGCGGGAGTTGGTTGAGCAACTCAGCATTGGTGACCCGGTTGGAGCAAGCGACCATGTCAGCATCTCATTTGTTATGTCGTTTGCACCAAAGGCTCCAGCAAGAAAGAGTGCGGTGCTGAACTACCATAAAGCCAATTATGAAGATATGAGGGAAGCACTTAACATGGATTGGCAAGGATTGTTTGAAGGTAAATCTGTGCAGGAGATGGCAGATAAACTTGAACAAACGATCGCGGATCTGATAGAAGAGCATGTGCCCAAGTTTGATCCTAACAAAAAATCGAAAAGGGGATATCCCCTCTGGATGAATCGAAATGCTCTGAGGATGGTGAAGAAGAAACAGCACGCCTGGATTCGTTTTTTGAACACTAAAGATGTCTCTGATTACCAGAGCTATGTTAAGGCAAGAAACGAAGCTACTCACGCGACAAGGAAAGCAAGGCGGGAATTTGAGTCGAAACTGGCTAAAGAAGTAAAAGGTAACCATAAAGTGTTTTGGAACTACGTCAACCGCCGTAGGAAGTCGAGATGCGGTGTATCTGACTTACGCAGTGCTAATGGAGAACTCACGAGTAATGACAAGCACAAAGCTGACATATTGAACCAGCAATACGCGAGCGTGTTTACAAAGGAGGACGTATCATCAATTCCCACAATAGCATCGAAGCCCTTGGAGTCAGAGATGGAAGTTACAATAACTGTTCAGAGAGTT